GCTCGGCTCGTTGCCGACGAGCCACGAGCTAGGCTCGTGCGAACACGAGCCGAGCTCGTTCGTCAATGGGCCGAGCCGGCTCGGCTCGGCCCATTGCCACCACTACTTGGTGCTTAGCATCAGTTTAGATAATAAGAAGACGTTACTGATTCAATGTTCAACGAATCAAAATGCATCTCAATGAATCAGTAGGGTCCACTTATTGACATATATATAGAGTGGTGTGATTTATCTAAGTATCGAGAAATGACTGACGATATGTGTCTACCTATCGATAAAGAGTATGAATTTGATCCTGCAAAAATATATTCTTTATATTATAGTCTTACCCTTTAATGTCTGAAAAAAAAATCCGAATAATAATAAATTTAACATTACATCATCTAGTTGTTTCAATTAATTTTAATTAATATTAAAGTTATGGATATATTCTGGCATATATCTTCAGTGTATATATGTTATTAATCGTGCATTAATTAGAACTTTTCGTAAATCATATTCATTGCAATCGTAAATCATATACATGATATTAGGGCCAAATTGGGTAGTTAATTTTGTTGAAATAAATTAAAATAATAATACTAACATTTATAAAATAAATGTAAAAACATATTAGGTATATCATAAATAGTATAGAAATAAATCACATTTGATTGGAAATACTATCTTACAGTCTACATCAATCTTGTAAAGTATATGTAGCATAATCGAAATAACAATAATCCTAATTTGCTTAGGGATGGAGAGCCAATGGGCTTACACCATGGGCCCTATCTGGCCCGTAACTTTGGAGGTGGGTCCTTCTCAAGCTTGTGCCTTAGAGAAGTTTACGTATAGAAATAATATAGGAAAATTTCATTTCTAAGATGTTAAGTATATGTCATTTCAAAAATAAGAAAACAAGTTTCAAATTTCAAAAATCAAATTTTTTTAATTTTTATTTATGAATTAATAATTTATTAAATAAATTTATTAAATATTTAATTCTAATATAATATAATTAATCCACCCCATTTCCACCACTCCTCTTGCGACTTTTCCGATGACCGTCATAGATTTATATAATATGGTCACAGATTCACAATTTAGTTAGTTACATATTATTTTTCGGTCACAAATCATAATTTTTTACGTTACAAATTATTTTTCAGTCTCAACTCAAAAATTTTATAGGTTACAATTTGTTTATCGGTCACGGATCAAAGATTTTGTAAGCCATGAATTATTTCGAGGTCACAAATTAATAGTTTTATACGTCATAAATTATTTTATTGGTCATGGATCCAAAAATTACAGGTCCCGGTTATCTATCAGTCCTATATTTTCAAATTTATTAGTCACAAATTAATTTTTAGTATCAATTTTAAGTTCACAGTTAGATTTTTTTTTTTTGTGACCACCAGCGACTTCTGTGACCATCACCTCCGTTGTCGCCGAAACAACATCACCACCCCGTGACCACCACCGACTTCTGTGACCACCCCCGTGACCACCACCTCACCACTGCTACTTGCCGCATCACCGCCACTGCCAACACCACCATCGCCAACAACCACACAAACCACCTCACCATCGTCAATATCCACCACCAACATCACCAAATCCACATGCACCACCACCAACAAAAAAAAACCCCAAAAACCACCTCCACCTCCACCACCAACCACAAAACCATAGATCCAAAATCACTAACACCGCACAATCACCAACCACAAAATTACAGATCAACAATCAGTATAAAACCCCAAACCAAAACCACCACCACCATCACCAACACATCCACCGCCATCACTAACCAACAATCACCAGGGACGAAGAGATACGGGATAGCAGCGAGGGAGAGGCATCGTTGTGAACGCCGCTTCATTTTCAGATCCACCATCCATCGTCGGCGCTCGTCGCTTCTGTGATGATGCGTCAGTGGGGAGAGAGTGAGGCTTCGAGATGGGGTATCGCAACGGGGCAGAGAGAGAGAGAGAGGGGGGGCGAGGCTTCGCAGAGAGAAATACCGATGGTGTAGTGCCGACAACGGGACGGTGTAGGGAGAGAGAGTGAAGGCAGCGGTCGATTTGCATAGAGAGACGGTAGTTATGAAGAGAGAGAGAGAGAGAGAGAGAGAGAGAGAGATGATATTGAATAAATTAGGGTTTGTTAATTGTAGTGTGTGTATATTGTAATTAAATATAATAATATTAATTAAAATAAAATATCTGATTTTGGAAATGTGAAGCTTTCATCCTGATTTTGAAAATGTGAATACATAAAATATGGTTTTGTGTAATTTCCACAATAATCTATATGTAAATTTTTAGTTGGCTGCATTTTTAATTCAATTGGATAAATTAATGGTGTAAATGTGTCAAATCAGCTTCCCGTCTACACATGGAATTTTTCGTCAATTGTGGATAACGAATTTGAAATGAGTGGATAAATGGGTAACCGTTTGAATAAGTGAGTGAACAGTAAACATTTGTTTTGTTCGGTGAACAAGTAATAACCTAAGCTAGAGTTCAATGGACATTGATATAATTAACTCAATCTAATTACAAAAGCACCATGAAATGTTTTGTATTAAAAAATACTGTGATAAATTCATAACATACAGTGTTACACTAATTTGCCACCACCTCATTTCCTAATGACTCCCAACCATAGTGTTAACATTGTCAACACGAGCAATGATCTCTCCCACTAGCCACTATCAGCTTCGCCTTCTATCACTACTAGCAACCACCTCCACTAGAACCATGCTTCGAATCCTTCAATCACCGCAACAAAGACAATCAAACACTTGCGACAGCCTCTACCACCACCTACGTACAAAACGAGCGATTCACTAGTTGGCAACCAACTTTGATAGCACCAAGACCACCTCCAACGATCATTACCACAAACACAATCAACACAAACACCGTACCTGGATGGACCGGGCCACCCCTTGACATATCGTTGTCGTCATGCAAACTGTACACTTATCTGCATGCAAATCAACAGCTTACATAGCCATTGAATTATTCTTCTCCATAATATAATATTTTGAGGATCATCAGCTTCCAAATTTAAATCACAAAACCCTAATTAGAGTAATTAATTAATAGTCGCGCATCACGTGAAATGACGTGGAGGTTATTTAAGGTAAGTCTTCCGCGCACAACTCATTAAATAATGTTAAGGCTCGACACGTAATTTGAATTAGAAGAGATTAAGATTAAGATGTCTCGGAAAACTCTAGCAAGGAGCTGAAGTCGAAATCGAAGTTTAACTAATGTAATTTTTCAACCCTTTGATCTCATACTTAGTTCATCTGTCTCATGTTCCAATTAATTAATTCATATCAAATTATAATTTAATTAACCCCTATGTCACGTTAACTAGATATATAGAATACACGTCTCCTTCTAGATTAATAGTGGGTAAATAAAAGGTAACCATGTAAGACAAGCAAGCTAGGATAAAAAACAGAAAATCTGAGTACGTAGATTTCAAAAAATAAATTAAAGTTTGACCAAAAATCATCATATTTCGTTAGCTAAAGGGTGGATGAATGAATTACCAGAATTCGAACGACTTTGAATTGGATAGATTTCTACTGTTGAAAAACATTAACCTAGCATGTTTATTTCAAATCTAAATGTCGTGTACAATAAAAGTTTAATTAATAAAATATATTAAGGATTCGTTTGGCAGGATTTGACACGACTTCTATTCTATTTCACGAGGAAGCTATTTTATACCAGTTTTCTCTAAAAAAAGAAAAAATGTCTTGTGTCAGATAAAATACTTTCAGAAGTTATCTGAACATGTTTAAAATCAGTTTCTTAATCTCAAAAATCCTGATAAACGGGCCTTTTAAAGTATTGGTCACCACACAAAAGCAATTGGGAATTTGATCGTTTGAAGCAAATCATGGAAATTTTTCGTTATAATTGGTAGAGGATGTAACAACTATACACCAACTAATAGTCAAAACCATCAATTAGCTGCCACTTGTCACCAATTATTCAATCAAATTTGACTGTCAGCTAATCTTTTCAGCTTCATGTCTACCAAGCAATTCTCTCTATCACACAAAATCGTCTTTGCAACCATTGTTTATCAATATGTGACTAATATTTTAACATGCATGGGCGTGCCATTTACCCAAAAAAAAAAAATAATAATAATAATAATAATAATCCTTACGTATTTTTTAAAAAATTCTATTATTTTATATGCTTTTTTCTTTTAATTCTATGCATATAATAGCATACGTTAAGAATAATTATTCTCCTAGTTACTTTTATTACTTTTTACGTATTTACTCTTTTACTTCTATATTTGTCGTACTCCTAACTCTCAAGTGAAATATTAAAAGTGTAACTCGTTAAAATCAAATTTAATTTATAGAACCAATTAGTATCTACATTCCTTAACAAGAATTATATGTACTTAATACAAATTTTGTTCGAACTTAAAATAAGCCTATGTTTGGTCCAGATTAAAATTTGATTTTAATCCAAGTTAAAATCAAACAATCAATATTAACCACATATTTATGGGTCCCACAACTTTTCAACCATACATTTCAAAAACTTGTATCACAATCTACTAAAAATCTAATTTTAATCCCCATCAAACACATTAAAATCCTAAAACTTATACTTCTAGCTAGTATATTTCCAAATACTACTTTTTGAAATTTCTTCGTGTTTTCTAAATTTACATTTGTTTGGCATTTCACCCCCAAAACACAGCACACAAGAGAGAAGATGAACATACCCCAAGGGCGGTACCAAATCCTATTGACTTGATCAACTCATTCACAACACACTTGACATCTATATATATTAAGGTCATCTTCTCAATACGACCTACAACTTTTCACTTCTGGCTTTGAACTTTGCTTTATATTTGATCTCAATCTTCAAGTCATCAAGATCCTGAGAATTATCAATGGGAAGATCACCGTGTTGTGAAAAAAATGGTGTCAAGAAAGGTCCATGGACTCCTGAGGAAGACATGAAACTCATTCAATACATTCAAGAACATGGTGCATGCAATTGGCGAAGTCTTCCAAGAAATGCTGGTAAATAAATTCAACAATAATAATCTTCTTTCTGTGTTGTTAATGATGTTTTATCTTGTAATGATTTGTGATGGAAATTGAACATTTTTGTGCAGAGCTTCAAAGATGTGGAAAAAGCTGTCGTCTTCGTTGGACAAATTATCTAAGACCTGGTATCAAGAGAGGGAGATTTTCATTTGAGGAAGAAGAGACTATTATCCAGCTTCACAGTGTTCTTGGAAACAAGTAATTAATATATAATCTCTCAGTCTTCACAGTATAAAAGTTTTTCTTATCTTGTGTTACTAAATCTGAATTTTTTTCTTCTGATGATTAAGGTGGTCCGCAATAGCTGCTCGGTTGCCTGGAAGAACGGATAATGAAATCAAGAATTTCTGGAACACTCACATAAGAAAGAGATTTCTTAGAAATGGGATTGATCCGGTGACTCATGCTCCACGACTCGATCTTTTAGATCTCTCATCACTTATAAATTACTTGCCACGGATTAATGTTTCGAATCTACTTCGACTTCAAACCCTGCTAAATCCAGAAGCCCTAAGGTTGGCAGCTAGTCTTCAGGGAAATCCTGAATTATTATTGGCAAAACTTCAGGAAAACCATATAATAAATTCTCAGTTACAAAACCAGACCCCAGTTTTCCAAACTGATCAGTTTCAAAATAATTTTGATCAACAAATACCTATTTGCGATCCATCCACCGATCTTCCTACAGCTACTTCAATTTCAAATCAAAATCTTTTCATGCAAGGGAATATGGGACAGTTTTCTATGAACTCAGAAAACTTGAGTGGCCAATCATTTCAAGATTTTGTTGAAACTTTCTGCTGTGGAACATCTGATCAAATACAGGAAGATTTATCAGAAAAAACAAGTTTTAAGTCCTTGAACAGCGGCAGCAATAGCAGCCATAATTTCAACTTTGATTCAGTTTTGTCGACGCCTCTATCTAGCCCAACTCCTCTAAATTCAAACTCAACGTATATTAATGGCAACACAGAAGATGAGAGAGAAAGTTATTGCAGTAACCTGTTAAAGTTTGAAATACCAGAGGGTTTAGATTTTGATGATTTCTTGTAAACACTCACATGTCATTCCACTTGTATTTGTTAGGTAACTGTGATGGTGCTATTTATTGTTTGTATATTAAGAAATTCTTGAACATATAGTACATATATATTTATCAAATAGATCGTGGCATATAATTTGAATATGACAAATTTCATATAAAGAAAATAAATAGTTTCCTGCTTCATTCGTTCAAATTATTCATTATGCAACTTACAAAAATACCTCTAAAATTAGGGATCGTTTCAAAAATCATATAAAAAGTATTTTGTAAGTAAAAATATTATATAAAATTAAGTGTTAAAAAGTGGCACAATGTCACGTCATAAAGTTAAGTGTCACTTTTTTATTATTTATGTCGCTTTTATTAAAAATGAAGTTTGTCACTAAAAAAGTGATAAAAATATTAATAAAGTGACAAAAAAAGGTGACTAAAAAAGTGGTAGAAATTCAAAAAAATAGAAACACATATTCAAAAAATGACAAAACATCAACTAAAACATTGAAATCAATTCAATAAAGTGACATGAAAAAAAGTGACACAAACACCGTCTCTCATTGATCTCAGTTCACCGCCAAACACCTCTAAGTTAGTTCATCGATAAGACACCAATCAAAATGCTGCAGCCAACCCACTGATCTCCACTTAATGACAGTGTCACTTTCTTATCAAAAAATGATAAAATTTTCAAGAAATTGATAGACAACTAAAAAAAGTGACAATTTTTTTTAAAAAAAGTGACAAACGCTTCAAAAGTGACATAAATTTTTAAAAAAATGAAAATAGCAATTAAAACATTAGAGTCGGTTTAATAAAGTGATGGAAAAAAAAAACCTCCATTTACCATCAAGTATCTTTAAGTTAGTTCACCGACAACACATCAATCAAAATGTCAAGCATCTTTAAGCTAATTCACCATCACCGTCATTTACCAACTTGGCTAACTCATCGACCTCCACTTAATGAAGATCCCAATAGAAGAACAAGCTAAGTTTTTTTCAATCTCCATTGTTAGAAAAGGTCATCACCTACACCAATAGTTGTAGCCGTCGCTACAAGACGTTTCAACCAACACTTCCGATTGTCGGTCTCTTCTAGAGGTGTCCAAAAGTTCCGAACCGAACTTGAATCGAACCGAATCGAGCTGTTCTTCATAAGTTAAATACTCGAACGGGTACTTGAATCGAGAACCAATGGGTTTGGGTCGGGTCTTGAGTCTAGACGAAGAACCGAATAAGAATCGAAACTAAATAATTTTTTTATTGAATTAATTAAATTATTTTATTGTTTCTAAACAAATTAGTAAAGTAATTAAATAAATCACATTATTTCATAATTTTAATTTTAAAGTCCATTAGCTCATTTTAATTTGCTCAT